TGTCCATTTGGATGTGTGGGTGGTTCGGGATGATGGTTTGTTGGCTTACTATCCAGGACCCTTCAAGGAGCAGGATGTTTCCCTACCCTTGGAGAGAAGAGTTGGGCTGGAGAAATACCATTTGGGGAAAAGAGCAGAAGATGGATTCTATGGATGCCCTGTACCTGAGATCTGAGCAGGGAGCCAGCAGGCAGAGCCTTGGGGCCGAGTCTTGCATGGGTGACAGAAATAGGGCTTGTTTTTGTGGGCACTGGGAAGGCAGCAGAGGGGTCTGGAAGGAGGTGAACACACCAACAGGGCTCCCAAGCTTCACTAAGCCATGCAAGCCTCAGCGGTGTGCCTCGTGAAGGTACGGAGTCAAGTTCAACGCTCGGAGATGTAATACTAGGCATAGGACAGGACTGAGTGGGCTCGGCTGTAAGTCCTGCCAGCAGAATAGCACACGTGCCAGGGTGAGACCAATTGTAGGAGTCAGAAGGACCTCCATGCACCCCACGCAGGGTATAATTGGCAGGTTATTAGTTTCCTAGAGCTGCCGTAACAAATGACAGCAAACCTAATGAATTAAAACAACAGGAATTTATTTTTGTCCTGAAGTCCAGAAAGCAGAAACAAGGTATTGTCAGGGTTGGTTCCTTTTGGAGGCTCCAAAGGAGAGTCTGTTCCTGGCCTCTCTCCCCAATTCTGGTGTTGCCTGAGATCCTTAGTGTTCTGTGGCTTATAGCTGCATTATTCCAATCTCTGCCTCCATCAACACAGGGACTTCTCTGTATCTATATGTCTGTGTGTCCTCTCTTCTTATAAGGACACTAGGATTGGACTAACGTCCTTGGACTGGGGGTCCCCCAATTAATGACTTCATTTTACCTTAATTATATCTACAAAGGCCTTATTCCAAATATGATCATACCCACAGGCTCCAGTAGTTAGGATCTGAACCTAATTTGGGGCATTGTGCACAAGTCAATCCACTATATATGGCTTGTATGATAGAGTGGTAAAATGTTAGGCATTGCAGTCACAATGAATTGAGTCCACATACTGTCTTAGCTGCTTGGCAGCTTGAACAAATCCCCTAGCCTGATTGAACCACCGTATCCTCATCTGGAGTATAGTCATAACACTTACTGCCTCATGAGGCTACTGGGAGACTGTATGAGGCAATACACGTAGCACATTTAGTGATTCTTGGTGTGTAAGAAGTACCCATTAAGGATAGCAGTACTTACTATTTTAACTATAACATCACAGTCTGAGAGTCAGATGCCCTAGGGGATCCCAAGCAAGAAGCAGAGAATAGGGATAAGTAATCTGGTAGAAGCCATTCTTGGGACTCCAAATAAGCAGCTGCCAACAGGACACACAGGGAACAAGCTGGGGTTCAGGGAGCAGGTTTTAGACCCTGGGGAGGACCATTGTCCTAAGAGAAGGCAGATTAGTGACAAGTTGCCAAACTGAGACCACTGTTCCAACTCCATTCTTAGGACCTTGTAGGATGTGGCCCAAGTACCAGGGATATAAGACTAGGGTCCAGCTAGCAGCCCAAATGGTTGGATCCTAAGGGCTGAAACATGGAGCTGGAGAAGTCATTCTTGCCTTCAGTCCTGGGAGCTGGATCTGTTGCAGAACAGATGAGGCCAAATTTCTTCATCCAAGGGTTGAGGAGAGCAAGAGGGCCTGGAGCCAGGTCCAGCAGGTCCTTGGTAAATGGGAAGCTGCTTATAGGGGTGAAATGATGTCCTAGGAGGACATCCTTGCTGGTCCAGAGGTTTAGAAATGTACAGAAAGGTCTTCTTCAAGGCAGGAAAATCCAATCGATCCTCTTAAAGGCCAGTGAAGGAGTTAGACAGGTCAGAGGTTTGGTTTTGTTCAAGGACATGATTTCTGTAAATATCAGAGTGAAGATCAAGGAGCTTCTCCAAGTCTCAGTTTCCTTCTATAAAAAATGTGAGGTTGGAATAGATGTTCTCAAAGGTCTCTCGTACAGCTCTGACAGACTATGATTTTATGAATCATCCTGGAAGAAAACCTGTATGAGGGGGAAGAGCCTGCCAAGACTGGGCCTTTCATTCTGAGTAATGAACTGAAACAGCAAAGGCCTGACATCTGTTCCAATCTTTCAGGGGAAGTTGGACAAAATAATACCTTTTTCTGGGAAATCGTTACCAACAGTGAAATATAGTATTTCCTGCCTACACCCAAAATGAAATCAAGAATGCCAGCCTTCCTGAAGCCCTGGGGAGGACACACACCAGAATTCCAGGTGAAGTTCATGTGGGCCACTTAATCTCACTGCTGTAGGCACAAACACCAGGGATACTGCTATCTCTAACACCGTGAGAGCCCAGGACCATGAAGATTGACAAGGGGATTCCAAAGACCCTTAGAGGATCTGGGGAAAGAAAGGGACCCTGTGGCCTGTGATTGGGCTCCTCACCAGCTGCTCTAACATTTTGGTTGCCTACAAAAACCTTCATTTCATCTGACTTGCTATCAAAAGCTCAAGGAAGAGTCTCCACCACTGACTTTGAGATTCTTCCCAAGAATCCACTTCAAGCCTCAGAGGCCATCCCTAGAAACCCATTCCAAGTGTATTTTGAGGAATAATAATGACTTTGGAGCCAGAATAGAACTTCCCAACACAATATATTTTGAAGGTACAGAGCTAGGGAAAGCCAGGTTCTAGAAACAAACATTATCATGTCAACCTTATTGAAGATGCTGGGACTTCAAGACTGAAAGAGACCTTTCAGGGTGTCTCATGTTGGCTCCTTCACTACCCAGGAATCCTGTCTGTACTCCCAACAATGTCTCAGTCAACCAGAAGCTCCATGAGAACAGGGCCTAGGTTTCTTACTCACTGCTTGGGCCAAGGCCTAAGCACAGCAGGTCGTGAGCACGTGCATATTAGTCTTTCTGCACTGTCCCGGAGAGTTCTCTCCCCTCCATTCCCTTCCTTTGTCCATGCCATGAACTGGGAGGACATTGCGAACTGGGGGTGGTAGAAGCTGCCCTTCCTCTGCCTTCAAATCCAAGCAAGTTCCAACCCACATTCAGACATTTACAAAAAGAAGGTCTCAGTATAATGATCTTTTGTCATATGCTCCTCCTCCATACCTTCTCTCGGTTCTGAAGTTTACTAAATTCTTGGACTCCAAGTGTCCATGATGGGGTGTGGGGGATGCCATTAGAAGGAGAAACACTGGGGTGAGCAACATCAGAATCATGCATTTCCCAGCTTCTCCCATTTTGGGGCACCCAGAGAGCTGTCTAGAAACTGAGGCTGACACTTTCCTCCTTGAAGTCTGATTTCTATTGGACTTCTAATTCCTAGTCTAAGGTAAGTGGAGTCAGAGATGTTATTAATAGCTACGATTCACTAAAAAATTTGATTAATGTCAATCTCCCTACCAGACTATAAACTTCATGAGGGATTACATGTTTGTTTGGATCAACTTTATATCGTTAGTGCCTGGTAGATCTCATAAAACAATAGACGGGTGGATGTGTGGGTGGGTAGAATGATAGGGCCAGGCCAAGCTAGCAGGTGGCTGCCTAGAGGCATGCCTTGTGGAGGAGTTTCAGAGACAAAGCCACCTTAGTAAAGGGTCTTTAATGCTGGCCTTTTGGGCTTCTTCTCTCTTCTGCCTTGCCCCATCTGAGGAAAGGAATATAACTGGTTTATACTTTGAGGTATGAAGAGCCACAAGAGCCCAAGGAGGAGCCTTTCCTAGGTGACCGCTATTAGAGGCTGAGATGGGTTTGTGAATGAACAAAAGAAACAGTGGATTAGCAATAGCCTTAATTGCACACAAGAACTCACAGGCAAATAAGCAGATGAGACCTAGGGCAGGTGCGGCACACACTCTCCCCTTCCTCTGAGTCAGGGTGAGCCTCGTGGGAGCTTAGAATTGGAGGCTCTCAGAGTGGGAAGTATCCTAGAGGATACAGCAGGTACAAAGATACAGAGAGGGGCCAGGGGGTTAGCTCAGTGGTTCCGCTGCCTGCATAGCAAGTGCAAGGACCTGAATTCGATCCCCAGTACCAAAAAAAAAAAAAAAAGATACAGAGAAGGTGGCAAGAATTAGACAACAGGAAAAGGGCAGCACCCTAAGCAAGACATAGGGAGGGCCCAGCTTGTAGGTAAGGAGAAGACTATGGGAAACGAGAGCCAGTTTAATGGGGCCTCATGAGAGGACAGTACTGGATGAGGCTGGAAAGATGGGATAGGGTGAGAGAGTTTAGATTTTTAATCGGGGAAGTTCAGAACAAAGAAATTGAACTTTAATTGACTCCCTCATTAAAATTGTGGTGGAGTAAAATGTATTAACATATGAGGTTTCCTGGCACAGTCCACCCTTGCCTTCCCCCTCCATGCTACCCCCTGCTAACAAGGCTCTGAACTTGCTTGTTTGCTTCTTTGCCCACCCTCACTCTCCAAGGAAGGTATTATCTTTATCCAGCTAGCTTTTGGATGGGTTTTAGGATGTATCAATCATTCAGAATGGGGAAAAGCAGTTGAGAGGTGGATGGGAGAGGAAAGTAGATTTCAGTAAGAGTTGTGGATACTGTGTCTTCTTCATGGTGTTTGAAAGACACAGGTAAAGAATATGAGCGATTTTTAAATGATTCTTCCTGAACTGTATTCATTTGACAAAGCACTGTCTTGAGAAGGGATCACATGGGCTATAATAGAGTTCCACTCTCTGCGAGTTTGCATCACTGTCCTCCTCCTCAAGGTCAGAAGCTCTTGAAGAACAAAGATTGAGTCAAATTCACCTTTGTCTTTCCTGCACCCTGGGCATAACCCAGCCCAGAAGGAGAGTTAGTAAATGTTGGAACTAAATAGTGGTTAAGTGACTTTAGGTTCAGGACACTAACGCCACCACACTCCCTCATCTGCCCTTCTCCATGAAGATCTGTCACTTGCTCATCTAAGGGTGTGCTCATTTCTCTCTCTCTCTTTCTCTCCCTCTCTCTCCCTCTCTCTCTCATCGCAGAAGGCAGATCTGGCTGTGGCTCCACTAACCATCACCCATGTCCGAGAGAAGGCCATCGACTTCTCCAAGCCCTTCATGACACTCGGTGTGAGCATCCTGTATCGCAAGTCCAATGGCACCAACCCCAGTGTCTTCTCCTTCCTCAACCCGCTGTCCCCGGACATCTGGATGTATGTGCTCCTTGCCTACCTGGGTGTCAGCTGTGTCCTCTTTGTCATTGCCAGGTAAGGCAGTGCCTTGGCCAGAGCCCCAGCCCCAGATTGAAGGTTTAGGAAAGTTCCCACATCCTCAGCCCTTGGCACTAGAGGCTTAAAGCTCAGGCCACTACCGTGCCTACTGCTCCCTCCCTGTGGCTCAGATTCCTCTGTATCCCTCAGGGAACATTCCATGGCCTGGCCCTGCCCCAGTCTGTGTTCATGACTCTGACATGCAACATTTGCTGCTCAGGCTCTGGGAACAGCCTCAGAGAAGTTACCTCATTGCTTGGAGCTGCACTACCTGGACCAGGTACCTGGTGCAGCAGACCCAGATGTATTACATGGCCCAGAGGTAGCTGAAAACTTGGAAAACAGGCTGTTTATGTACAGTCCACAACTGCAGAAGAATCATATACCATAAAGGCACATGTGTGCCCACATGCAGAAACACAGTACACACACACACACACACACACACACACACACACACACACACTATGTTTGGAATAGATACAGTTCCACAACGTGCTTGTATATTGGGTCATTTACATGAAATAGATGCAGTGCGCCCTTGCTGATAATCAGCAGATGATCACTAATGGACAGATTGAGCCCAATGTTTAGTGAGCAAACACCATAGTCTGAACTCTACACCTGTTACCTTAATTCTCCCCTTGAAGAGGAGACACCTGAGGCCCAGAAAAGTCATGCAAGCAGTAAGTGAGGCATCTGGCACTTGAACTTGGGTCACCAAGTGTTTTGTCTGCTACCCTGTGGCCTTTGTTGCAACCCTGCCCTATGTGGTGGTGTGGCCCACTGCCTCCCACCCCACCCCACTGGGCAGTGTATCCCCTTCCTCCCAGCTCCAGCTCAGGCCCCCACCCTGCTTCCTTTTTTTCTCTAAATCTAGCAAGGCATGAAGAAGTCAGGACAAGTCATGAAGAAAGACTTCTCCACAGAGGCAGTCTGAGATCCAAGGACTTGGTGTTCAGCCTTTTTTCCTCCTGATTCTTCTTTGAAAGCCTTCCCCCTACTCTGCTCCATTCACTCTCTCTCCACAGGGAAAGACCAAAGGGAAGGATATGAGGGATGAAATTGCCTGGCCCTCTGGCCCAGTGCTGCAGGACCCGCCCCACTGGTCAGTCCAGTCAGCAGCTGAGCCACCGCAGAGAGGCCTTCATTGCACCTCTGGTCTCTAATGGTCTAACAAGCCTTTGAAAGCCACGAGCCACTCTCTGGTGTTCTCTCCATAATGCCAGCGGCTCCAGCAGCCTCTCAGCAGCCGCTCCCTGTGAGACACAGCTTTCCCAGCTTCACTTGAGCCTATTTGATGTGCGTCCCTTCCCCCTCAGATTCCCAGCCTGCCATCATCAGTTGTGGGGAGCCCAGCCTGCTCTCCGGCCTTTCCTTCCTGGCTAGGAAGGTAGGAGCCCGACTTCTGGGAAGAGAGAAGATTTCTAGAGGGAAATGATTCAGGATACCCTCCAAGAAAGGAGGATGGTGAAGGACTTATCCATGGAGCTAAGGGCATCATAGTATAGTTGTCACTTTGTGGAGCATCCACACCACACAACTCTAACCCTTTCTACAGCCTTGTGAGATGGGTATAATTATCCCCACTTTACAGAAGCAGAAAACAAGGCTCAGAGAGCTTAAGCCATTGCCCAGAATCAGAAAGCTTTTCCTTGCCACGATTTGGCCAGAACTGTCCAGCTTTAAATCAAACACAGGTGATGCCAGTGCAGACAGGTGGCCCAAGGGAGAGAAGCAGTTCAGGTAATGGCAGCAAGAGTGGTGAGGACTGAAGCAAACTGGAGAGCACACAGCCAGCTGAGCATCTACTGCTCAGCACCAATAGACTGGCTATGTCGGACAGAGACGCAGAGCCTGTATCACTGTGCTCATTTCTAGAGCAAGACTCAGATTTTGATGTGGCATCTCATTGTTTTTCTGTGTAGCCAAAAATTTTACAATATTGTCAGGGTCAAGCACAAGACATCTGCAGTGTGGACACAGCCCCCACCCCCATCCCATGACCTGTGCCCTTTGGAGCACTACATGCTGCTGCTAGAGATCTGGACACAGCTGCCCACACCCCCAAAAGATGGGATCTGCAAGTGTGGGCAGGCCCCCAGGCCTATACCCAGGCAGCTCCAGCATGGCACAAGGCCATTCATATTGCAAACCAACCCAGTCTAGGATCTAGGCATTGGATGTTCTCTTCATGCTTGGTAAGGTAGAAGGACACAGGAAGGGAGTGGAGGATGCTTTCTCACTACTGAGATGACAGTGGGTGCTTGTGGCAGGGATGTAGTCCTAAGTGTCTAACACTGGAGGTAATACTGAGAGTGAGCTGCCCATCCACCCCCTGGGAGCCACTTTCTGGGAAAATCCTGCAGAAATGAGTAACCCAGGGAAGAGAAGGCCACAACCAATATCCTGTCTGTACCTCCATAGTTGGGACTGGAGTGTAGCTTTCTCCCCTGAATGGAGCCAGGGTATCTCAGGTTAACAGTTTCTAGCTCCCATTTGCTTATGAGTGGAGCACCCTAATACAACCACAGCCATAAGTCTAAGATCTACCATTAACTGCACATGGCACCTGCCACCCTTGTCCAGCAGCCATCCATTCCCTCCTCCTCAACCCTGTGGAGTCTGGACCCTCTGTCCTCTGCCTACAACATCACAATCTCTCTCTCTCTCTCTCTCTCTCTCTCTCTCTCTCTCTCTCTCTCTCTCTCTCTCTCTGTAAAATAGACACCTGTTGCTGTCAACCTGTAGGGGATGCTGAAGACCCCAATGACAGCACTGGATACCCAAGGGACCCCTTCCAGAGTCAGATATTTTTATTCCATTTCAGAAAATTTGTCCTGTTGAAGTGTCACCATTGAGCCACACTCTGGAATCTAAAAAGCCTTTATAGCAAAGCCCTAGAGGACAAGGCCACCTGTTGCCATTGGTGTCCCTAGAATTTATCCAAGGAAGTTGCCTTTCGCTGAGTGTCCAATGGTGGGAAGCAGGGACAGCGCTAGTGCCCACCGACAGAAGAATGGTTAACGTCGCCTATGAAGTGGTTACAGAGCACAGGGTATATCCAGAAGAACTGATCTGGAAAAGGGTTGGTGACTTCTCAAATGAAAGACCAAGTTTTCTGGCAGTACAGTGATATGATGTGTTTTTCTGTTAAAAATGACATGGTGTGAGTGTATCTAGTACAGTAAGCAAGCAGAATCCTTGAGCTCTGCTCAGAAGTCACCTTCCACCTGTCTCCCAGGCCTCCTTCCAGTGCTCAGAGATGTTTTGTCCCCAGTGAAAACTGTCATGGCTGTGACTTTTAAGCTCACTGCCAGATCACAGAAAGTTCTAAGTATCTCTCTTAGTCACAATCACTGTTTCCGTCCAGAAATTAGAATTTTGATCCAGTATATTTCCCAAGATTTGTCTTCATTCACGAGTCAGCATTCTCCCCATCCTGCCTGTGGGCGCCCTTCGGCAGTGCCTTCTCCAGCAGCCCACTCCCCACTCAGCCCCTGTTCCTCCAGCAGCCTATCCCTACAGCCTCTGCCTGTTGGAGTTTACTGCCTTTCTAGGGTGAACTCAAGGTGGACCTGGGCTGGATATCTTTTCTGCATGGGTCCAGTGGTGAAACCCTGTGCACGCAATGTCCTCAGACTTTGGTGACCCTGGACTGTGGAAGTGGCTATCCTGCTTCCACCTGAAAAGCATGCATCGCCTGGTACCTGCCCTTCAGACTCCCCCAGTGCATCTGCCCAATACCAGTGTCCTGAGAAGCCTCCCTCCCTCTGCTCTGGATGCCCAGCTCTCCACCGGCTTTCTCCAAAATCCCTTCTCACAACAGCCTCTCATCTCAGCTCTGCTGATCCTCCATCTCTTCCTTGTGGATTTTAGAGCCTCTCACCATGGTCAGTTCCTTTGAAAATCCTTAACCTGGTTAGAAATTCCTTGGGAATTTCCTGTCTGAGAGGTCTTTCTATTTCATAAGAACAAAATTCTTCTCACATGAGCACTGGCGATCAATCTATAATGTACTAACTCTTTAGAGGGGAGATAGAAAGGGGGATCACATTTAAGGGCATCACACAGAAACCAAAACAGAATTCGCTACACTTGTCTCTCAGCCCAGCATCCTCCCACTCTCTCCCCTCTCTGCCCCCAGCCAGGAATTTCTCCAGCGTCTCCATCTCTCCGGCATCTTTAAACCCACATATTGCCAACTGGAACTCAGACAGTCAACCAAAGTTCCCTCCAGTAATCAGGAGTCATCTTCTTTAGAGGCAGTGGAGGGCTTTAAATAACATTTTTCTTCTGTCATGTATGTATTTGTATATTCAAAGAGAAAAATCTGAAAAAGTTGTATACCATATTGTTCTCTCCCAGTGGGTAGGATGCTGGTGTACTTTTATTCTCTCACTGTGTTCTATACTGTTTGAATATTTCATGGAATGGCTTTTACATTTTTTACATTTTTAAAAATTATACAAAACGTTCGAAAGCATTTTCTCATTTTTAAAATTTCATATAATCCATATAAAGCAACATCCCTCCCTGAAGGTCCTTCTGCCTTTCTGACTTTCCTCTCCAGAGAAAACATTGATATTCTTTATATATGGAACCTTCCAGACCCTTTAGGATGCATTCACATCTAAATACACAAAGAGCTCTATATGTCTTCAGGAGTCTATTTATATAAATGTGATCGTATTGTTCTGATTTGTATCACTGTCTTTTGTGCAAACATTATGTGCTGAAGATCTTTCCCCATCTACACATCTAGAAGTTGCCTGCTCTCTTTAACAGCGACGTGATATTTCAAAGGACAGTTGCAGCATGGTTTATTTAATCGTCCCTCTATTGAAAGACATTTAGGTTGTTTCCAGTTTTTTGCCATCACAAACAATGCTTTGATACACACCCTCAGTCTGCTTCCTGTGTTCTCCTGTACAGGTGCTTTTTCTCAGATGGATAGTGAGTTCCAGAACTGGTAGGTGGAAGGCCACATGCACTTTTAATTTTAAGAGGTATTGCTGAGTTACTTTTACAATCAGAAAAGGGCACTAACCCTAAAAACAAGGAGAATGGCTTGCCTGCCTCGGATGCTGGAGTGGCCTGTACCCCACACCTGTGCTTGGTCTCTGTTGGTGCAGCGACCTTCTTTCCATATCCCTGTGCTCGGCCTCACTGCCTCTTTCTCTTCCCTTGGCAGGTTCAGCCCCTATGAGTGGTATGACGCTCATCCCTGCAATCCCGGCTCCGAGGTGGTAGAAAACAACTTCACTCTGCTCAACAGCTTCTGGTTTGGAATGGGCTCCCTGATGCAGCAAGGTAAGTCCACTCTCCTGTCTCCTCTCCCAGGAAGGGTGTCTTCCCTCCCCAGCAAGTCCAGCAGCCTGTGTGCCCTTCGGCAGAGCCAGCCCATCCTCCAGGGGCAGCCTCCGACCCTGCTGAGCTGCCAGAAGGTCGAAGACACCCTGATAGGTGCCTGGACCCTGAGCCCCACCCCGCTACTGCTCTGGCGGGAACCAGCTCAGGATCTAAGGACAAAGCTTGTCAGCCACTGAGCTGTGGCATGTAGGATGCAACCCCAGCACCTCCTACTGCAGCTGAAGTGGATGCAGAGCACCCTGCTTGCTGGGCCAAACTCCTATGGCCTCTGCCACAGAATCAGGGCTGTGGACGGGGAATACTGGAGGCAGGGAAGCTGGGTGGGAGGTCATTGAAGGAATGAGATGATGAGAACTCAGGGAGGGTAGTGGCCATGACTGGGAAGGGCAGAGGTAACTAAAAATTTAGGGAGTAGGATAGTCAAAAGTTGGTAATCACCTGGGTATTGGGACCTGGAAGTCTGAGGGGTCAGTTGAGAAGGAGACTTCCACCTGAGTGCATCAGAGAGGAGACCCACAGAATGTTGTGATTCTCTTGCATCCTCGGAAGGACTGTGTGCTGCTGCTCACCCTGTGCAGGCAACCAGCCTTTTGGGGAGTATCCACAGCTACTAATATGCCCAGGAAGCAGAGCATCTGCTCTAACTGCAGGTGTAAAATACAGAGACATGGAGGGGTTGGAGAGCAGGCACGGGGCGGCTCAGCTAGGAAAGACTCCCAGGGAGAACCACTCACCCCAGCCCACTGGCCAAGGGCCATGTGCCCACTGCTTTTGCCTGTGAAGTTCCATATCCAGAGCCTCTTATCTGGGGCTGGAGGGCAACCAAGTCTCTGCTTGTGTTAAGAGTCCCACTCACTAGGGGCAGGAATAAGGAGTTTCAAGGGACAAAGAAAACTTTCTGTCCTTCACTCTTCTGTGTATAACTCCAAGCCCCAGAGCAATGTCCTGGTCCTCCAGAGACATCCATCAGCAAATGCCTAATTAATTAACAATATTATCCTGAATGTCCACTACACTCCATGCTCTGTGCTGAGTACTTGAATGGAGAAGGGGAAAGAGTAGCTTTCTCCTACACCCCAGAGACCTTTCAGCCACTCAGAACCCAGGCGGGGGGGGGGGCAGGTGCCTAGCAGAGCTTCCCAAGAAAACAACTATAAGAAGCTCCCCTCCTTTGGGGGACAGCTGGAGCCCTGGCTGGAGCAACTTGGGGAGGCTGAGAGTGGCTGGCTGGCAAGAGGAGCTGGGCAGCATCCTGGGTTCCAGCAGCTGGGAAGTACCAGGCAGCTTTCCAGGGAAACTCCTCCACTTGTCCCCACTGTCAGTGAGTGTCCTGAAGCCTCACCTCCTTCTTAGCCCATTATCTTTGTTCAGTGACAGTCGAGAAGGACCTAGAAACCCTGTATTGCAGTAGTAACTTCCTCTCTTTTGCTGCCTGCTGCTATTCAAAGCCCTGGCCCCCTGTGTGTCCCCCACATGGTTTTGATTAGGAGGGAGAAAATAGTGATGTATTTGAAAATTCTCCCTTGAGTGATTTCTTTGAGAAAAAAAAATCATCCATATCAAAGCAGACGCTTTTCCAATTGCAGGTCCAAATATTCTGGATAGTTCAGAAGTCACTAGCTATTTAAATCTCTTGAAAGTCACCTAGTTAATTACTTCGGTTAGAAGGTTTCAACTGAATTATCCTCCACACCCAAGGTCGAGGAAGAAGAGTGATATATTTCAGCAAAGAGCTTCCAAAAATGTTGATTTTTCTCCTGCTGCCAAGAGCCACATAGCAATCTTATATTTGTATACCACTTGTATTTCCAACGCAATTTCTTCTGAAATTTTATCACTGCAGCATCGCGGTATTTCTGTGAGGCTGAGACAGAAGAAGAACATTTCTCCATGCTCTGCAGAGTCCCAGAGAGGGGAAGTGTCTGGCAAACACTCACACGGAATGTGGGGGACAGGATCTGCTTAAGATCCAGGGGTTCCATCCCCAATGTGCTTTTAACCTGGACCACAGGAGTGGCCCATGAATAGGCAGTGAGGGCTGACACGCCCTGTGAACTGTTGTGCATGTGTGTGTTGTTTCAGAGCAGTGGCTCTTAAATTTCAGATCAGAGCCACCTGGAGGGCTGATCAAACTCACAGATTGGCGATCCTGCCCCCACCTGCAGTTACTGATGCAGTAGGCCCTGGGGTGAGACCTGAGAATTAGCATTCCTAACAAATTCCCAGGTGGAGGTGGTGCCAGTGGGTGGACCACCCTTCTGAGAGCCATTTTTACGGAAGTGTCGGTGGAGTCCCCAACCCAAATGCCATGAGCAGCCCTCATCTGCACATTGTAAGACACCGCTGTCTCCTTTCTCCCAGGGTCTGAACTGATGCCCAAAGCACTGTCCACACGCATCATCGGTGGCATCTGGTGGTTCTTCACACTCATCATCATCTCCTCCTACACAGCCAACTTGGCTGCCTTTCTCACAGTGGAGCGCATGGAATCACCCATCGACTCTGCTGATGACCTGGCCAAGCAGACCAAAATCGAGTATGGGGCTGTCAAGGATGGGGCCACCATGACCTTCTTCAAGGTGAGACACTCTCCTTTCCATTGCAGCACCACAAGCTGACCCACCACTGACCCTTCGCTGAGCAGAAGAGGAAAGGAGTGGTGGAATCTCTGTCCTTCCCCGTAGGTCAGAGCCAATGAGCCAGAAACCCCTGAGGCTCAGCCCCTCACAGTTTCAACCAGTTGACTTAGGGGAGCTGTGGTGATATGAGCTGTACAAGTAGGTCTCAGCACAAATTCTAGAAGTTTCTATTCCTGGGACAAGCTGTATAAATGAATTATCAAGGGAAGACAGATAGAAAAAGGAAGCAGGTGAAGGGGAAGGAGGAGGGGCCCAGACACACAGGCAGGTCCTGGAACCGTGGACTGGACCTTGTTTGGGGATCTCAGTGCCATCCACCAGCTGGCCTGGGGTTGAGGGAAGCTGTCCACCTGAGAGGGCAGTGGGGCACATGCCTGAAGGAAGGGAGGAGGCTCAGAATGCAAAGGACTTGTTATAAACACTGCTCACTTAGCATGTTACGCCCTCAGAATGCTGGCATCTTCAGATAAAGTCCCTGTCACCTGCCCAAGTGACTGTTCCAGTGAGTGTCCAGCCATGACTTTGTCGCTTCTGCTTTGAAAGTGTTGGCTCAGTTCGCCAATGTTTTTTCACTTTCTGCCAGCATAGACAGACCTGTCCTCTGAGAGCCAGTAGGTGTCAATGTGCATCCGGAAGTAATAACAGTAGCTGCCAGCACTGAGGCTCGCAGTGGGACTGGAGCTACAGCCAGTGCTTGGGTTCATGTCACCTTCACAAGTCCTGTGAGATTAGTGCTGTAATTACTTCTATTTTACACATGTGGAAACTGAGGCTCAGAGCAGTTTCTCATCCAAAGACTCACAGCTGGCAAAGCCGAATGCTGCCCTAAGTCTGCCTTCCATCAAAGCCTGAGAAGTAAGCCAGTGGTGCTGCGACTTGAGTGTGCCCTGAAGGACTTGGTACCACATGGAGCATTGGTTCCACCCTCAGAATGTCTGACCCAAGAGGTCTGGGTGGTGGCCAAGAATAAGCATTGCTAACAAGTTACTGAGTACTGTTGGCACAGCCAGTCCAGGCTCCACACTTTGCGAACCACTACTCTCACAACCTCTCAGAAATGATCAGGACTTGGGAACTCCGCAGCTGCAGATCCATTCTTTCATTAATCACCTGTCTTCGTCAGTCTGGGTGCCAGGTATTCCCTTTATCTGGGTCCCAATTCTTCATCTCTCACCCCCTGCCTCCTAGGCTAAACCAATGGATTGAGCCTCCAGGGGGGCCAGAGTAAAGAGAGGAAGAGTGGAGTGAGAAAGCCTTCCACACTTGGCCACAGGATCCCCTAGTGCTCTCCCTACCCACCCTCCTTGAGGTTGGAAGTGGCTTGGTGAAGAGAAGGGAGGGGACAGGGGCCCCTCTAGATGTTGCTATTCCCACCAGGGAGCTGCAAGCACCACCTGCCTAAGGAGTCACAGGGTGTATTTAGGGCCAGAGGGAGATAAAAGCATCATCAAAGACACATTATGCACTCTGTGGGACTCTGTCAGTGTGTGTGAGTGTGAACAAGTATGATTGGATAGGTGCAGGTAGCAATAGATAATGCTCATAAAGGTACATTTGTGTATGCAGGGGTACACGTGTGCCCATGCCTGAGAACCTGCCTGTGTGGGTACACACATGTCTGTGCTTGGACGTGAATATTCGCTTCATATGTATGTGTGCTTGTATATGTGTGTGTGTTAATGAGCTTCTGTGTAATGCATCTTTGTGATCTGGATACATGAGTGTTTGCAAGTGTGTGGCAGAACGTCTGTATGTATGTACCTGTGCACAGAGACTGTGTGTGCTCAATGTTCCCATGGCTGTGCCTAGAGAAGTGGGGGAAGGGGAACCATTTAATGACATGTGTGTGTGTGTGTGTGTGAGTGAGATGGCCCATGCCTGCATGTGTGTCTCCGTGAGTGTGTGTGCATGCACATGTGTGTGTACCTGCTCGTTGCCTGTCCCCAGGCTGTGGCCCAGCCCTTTGACTAAGCCAAAGCCTCTCTCATGCATTACGCATGAGCCTGTCTCTAAGCAGGGCTCCCGATCAAAGGGAAGCAGCATAAATAAGCCCAACACAGGCTCATTGCTGCTGATTGGATGCCCTCGCCTCCCTCCATGCTAAGATGCTCAGATTGGCTTCCCAGAGCCTGGTCCCTGCTCCCCACTGAGCCTCTGTCCTCAGCATCAAGCAGCACCTTCCGCAGCCTTCTCTGCCCCCACCCACCTTCCCTGCAAATGGCACAGCAAGGAGACAAGGGAAGGGAGACAGATGCTGCCACCCAGCTGGGTTTCTGGGGCTCAAGGGCCTATGCTCACAAGGGCCCTCTGGCCAGAAGCAGCAACTGCACATTGCCCTGCAGAACCAGCTCCGCTTTCATCCTCTCCCAGGGTCAATTAATCCCTCTCTGTGTCTGGCCACATTGTCTCCCACCTCCATTCATGTGAAGCTCCTCTCATGCAGACATCCTCTCATGGCAGCAACAGCAGTGGGCCCGTGACGTGGGCGGGAAGGAGTGTGGATGTGGGCACATTAACCTTGGATCCGAGGGTGAATTAGAAGCATAGCACCCACCCACAAGGTGTCTGGACAAACCCATTTCCTCCCACTCCCCTGCCCACTGGAGCTGGACCTCCTAGGCATGCCTTCCCTCAGAGCCAAGCTGTAGCCTGCTCATTATCACAGACTATTTGCAAGTTAGAGCTGGAAGGAGTCCTGAGTTTGACTTAGAGAAGTGGAGATGCAGAGGGATCAGGTGTTTTGCTCATGATGACCTAGCAGATTAATGGTGGAGCCAGGTTCAAGGTTGGATGCACTATCTGCACACACAGTGCTCTCTTCTTTATCCACTCTGGGGTCTTCTCCTGGAGGTTGGTCCTCTGCCCTTCCCAGAAGTATATATGGCAAGTCTGATACTAGGATTGGACAGACACCAGCTCCAAGGGTAGCCCAGAGGTCTAGGAGACCTTCATATTCACTCATAACAACCCTAGAAGATTATTATCATCTCCATTTTACACAAAATGAAAGTAAGGCTCAGAGAGGCTAACTGACTTACCCAAAGACACACAGCTAGTGAAATATAGAGCTGGGATTTGAACCCAAGCAGTCTGACTCTAGTGCCTATGCTCTCTGTAAGAACCCTGCCAAAGTCCTCAGGAGTCACTCGGGGAAGAGTGAAGCCAGTCAGTTGAGCCATACCCATAGCCCAGCACAGTCCTGGCACACCGTAGTTACTGAGAATTAATACATGCTGAGTTGATGCTGCTGTAAAATTAAAGGATGGAATTAAAAGGTGGCAGGACCCAAGAGAAGCAAATACAAGAGGTAGTGTTGACAATCAGAACCAAGCAGGTGGCATCCCATGAATATCTCAAAGTGCAGGACTGGAGAACTTCGTTTGCATGGTCTCAGGGAGGCTGTGAACAGTATTATAATCCCTTTTGGCTGACAGTAGTACACAAAGTGGGGAGAGGCACCCACCACTGCCCAAAGATGAAAAGCCAAGGAAGCAGAGTATCAGACTCCTGGGACCTCTGTGCCTCTTGGCCTCAGCCCACAGCCTGCAAGATGCATGGCTGGAGGCAGCCACATCACTCCAGGGGAGGTTCCACTCAAAGTTGTTGGGGAGCAACAGACATCACAAACAGCATCTCCTGTGTTGTCCTCCCTCCATCTTAGAAGATAAAATTTAATTAGGAGAAAAAGGAGGCCTTGGAAGCACTGTGCGGCTGTAAAAATATGTAGGCAAAATGTAAAGAAGAATGCGGGGGGAAGCGTGCTCTTTGCAGGGAGGGCTGAGCAGCTTTGAAGGGAGAGGATGTGAGAAGACAGCTTCTGCAAAGACTTAGCCCTCTTCAGCTGGAAGGGCTGGGGAGCATATCCTGGGTGGGAGAGGGCAGCTGGGGAAAGGAGTGGGAGCTGGGAGCCCTGAATCCCAGGCTCCCAGACCCTGGGCATCCTCTACCTTGCACAGCCTCGGTCATAGCATCTGACCTGGAAGGCACTTGGAGGGGCTACCCCATCCATGGCTTGCCCTGAAGCTGCATAGAAGACTCTTCCCTGACCTGGAGGGTCCAGGAGGATGTGCTCCAATCTCAGCTCCAGTTTCTCCAGATCCGTTTGCCAATCTCTCTGTAGCCTTATCCCTGCCTTTCAGCACTGGTAGGGTAAGGGAATGGATGTGTAGTGACCAGGCAGCATTCACTGCATGCAGCCTGGTACAGATAGCATAAACCTAAAAAGGAGACCAGGATGTGAGCCTTGAGTGATGTCTTTGCTGAGTTAACTTAGACAACTCACTGCTCCTGGCCTCGGCGTGCTCACTTGTACATCATGGTTGCAGCTCCCACCCTGCAGCAATTTGCAGGAGGATTCCCTGTGCTACTATCTTACAGTGATCATCCCAGGGCCAAGGATGCTTTTGCCCTGAAGTCCCCTCCTCAGCCAGATGACTTCACACACATTGGAGAGGGACCAGCCAGTAGGTGCCTGGAGGCTCCTCCAGATCCCGCTGCACTGGACTTACTGGGCTTGGTAGAGGACATTGATGTCATTGGAGTGACCACCTGGCTCTGCTCAGGGCTAAGTATTTGGGGAGGAGCCCAGAGCTCCTTAGATGGAAGAAATCCAGAGAGCAGGCAAAGGAGCAGCAACAAATGCAGGGTGAGGGCCAGTGGTGACAAGGAAGTCACTGAAAAGTACTAAGTAACTGATGACCTCCCTGTGCCTTTGTTTTCTCATCTGTGGGCTGGGTATAATACCTAGCCTCATAGAGCTCTTGAGATGATTGAATGGGGTCATTCATATATACAGCCTAGGATGCAGTATACCGGGCACAAAGTCGGCATGCAACAAATATTAACCATCTTTGTCATTTATTGTTGCAAATGGGTGATACACAGCCCATAGGCATGGCTTTTTGGAGGCCATAGATTGCATTACTTGTTTTATGTAGAGTTTCTTTTTTAAATGAGTTGCCAACATTTTAAATGTGAAGGCTTTTGCATTTGAAAAATTCACATTTCCAGCCTCTTGAAAACGTGAAATATCTGGCATCACTGAGCTGGTTCTCCTGCAGAGCAACAGTTGTTGGGAGCTCAGAGGCAAAGTCTGTCTCTGGTTTATGAATCCCACTTGGCCTCTTTAGTTCTTTCCTGTACCCAGCCTGGCCCAGTCACTGTTTGAGTTTCCTACCCCAAAATAGCATGTCATTTAATTTCCATAGCCACCTCTGCACTGTTAAGATTATTGTCCCCCCTTCCCTTTCCCTTCCCTTCCTTCCTTCCTTCTTTCCTTCCTTCCTTCCTTCCTTCCTTCCTTTCTTTATTTCTTCTTTTTTTCTTCTGCAGTAGTGGAGATTGAACCCAGGGCCATCACAATGAGCTATACCTCAGCCCTTTGTTTATTTATTTATTTTGAGATAAGAGCCTACTAAATGGCTAAATTGTCCAGTCTGGGCTTGAACTTGAGAGCCTCCTGCTTCAGCCTCCCAGCATGCTTTATCCCCTAATTCAAAATGGGAAAAGTGAGCCTGAAGGAGAATTAAGGAGCCTGGAAGAGAAGTAAGGCTAGCAACCACATATAGAGACTTAGGGGCCAGACATGTGTGTTAACAAGCACTTCACACACATCTTCTCATTGGATCTTCACAGTACCCCTATGCAGTCAGCATTCTTAAGACCTGAATTTTACAGATGTGGAAAGTGAGGCTTATAGATGTGACATCTCTAGACTGTGGTCACAAAAGGAGCTGGCATTTAAACCCAGGTTGCTGAGACACCAGAGTCCCTGCAGTGGAGCTGACCCCTCCCACTACCTCCACTCCCACCCCGGTGGCCCCCACAGCCAACAGCCCCCTTGCAGGGGCAGGGGTCGGGGTACTGCAGGCAAGCCTCGGGTGCTCCTGGGGAAGAGGGCCAGCAAACCTGTCCTCACCAAGGCAGAGGCAGGGGACTTGGACAGACCTCCTGTCCCCACAGAAATAGCTCAAAAGAAGTGATTAACTGCTCCAGCACATGGATCCGATAAGGCCAAAGGCTCCACATCCAGGGATAAGAAAGCCAATTAATTCAGGGAAAGTCTCCTTTCTGATATGGAAAATACCCAAAGTCTTGCATGGAATCACATTGCTGCTGCCTCTGCATACATTCCCTAGGATTTAGCTCCCTTTGAAATTTGATATATATATTTATATATGTATATATAGACATATACATTCTCTTGTACAGAAACGTTAAATTCTCAAGATTAAGTATCTTCAGTTGGAGAAAATCAATTTACTTCTTTGAGGAGGCTGAAATTGAAAGTCGTGAGCCTGAAACTTACTTTCTTGCCAATTTTCCTGATAAAAAAAAGCATCTCTGTCCTGGCAGATCGCCCTGTATTGGCTGCTCCAAATGATTCCATTAATTGATTTGAGTGAGTGGCCCTGAAGTAATCCTTATTAAGGTCTCACCAGGGCAGGCACTGGCGGGATGATGCAGGAACCCTAGTATGTGGGACTCCATTTCCTGGTGTGGTGGCTGCAGCTCAGGCCAGTGACAGGAGCTCAGGCCTCTGGTGACCAGGCCCAGGGAGAGGAAGAAGAGCTGAGATTACAGGTGCAGCCCTGGCTCTGTCTCCCTACTTCAGATGTGCCAGAGGGGAACTCTTCACAGTTGGGCCCCATAATCTGAAAAGTGTTCAAGGACAAAAGGACAGAACTGAAGAGAAAACAGAGACCATGAGCAGATGTATGGAGAATGGGGGCTCAAGATACAGAACCAAGACAGTGGGTGGCCATTCTAGGGAAGCAGATTTCAGACCCATCTGCCGAAGTGTGATGGAGCCTGTGGGTTTTTGGAACTGGAGTGGGAGAGTAGAACCACTTGAAATCTGTGTCACGGTTTCTTTCTTGGTGTCCCCTCCCATCTTGACTGGTCCACACTCTGGTATCCTTTCCCATCTTTCTCACTCATTTCCTTTACCCACTGGTGGCTTTCATGTAATTGTCCTCAAAGCCCATCTGCTCAACACCCTCTCCAGCCTCGAACTGAAATTCCTATCTCTATCTCAGGTGCTGAGTTCCTGGGAAAAGCTTATGTTTTGGCGTCAGGCAGGTCTGTGTAGAGGAGGAATAAAAGGGAAATTCAGAGAGATGTTCTGATCCCATTCTGAGATGGAAGAAGTGAGTTGGGCTTCCTGAAGGGTTTTTTTGGTTACTTTTGTCGAGACTCAAAAGTTACAGGTTACTAGTTGTGTGGGAAAGTGAGTATGATGGGTGAGAAGGAGGAAGGGATGGATGGGGGCTGATGGATAGATGAGGAAGGGTGGATGGACAGATGGTTGGATAGAAGGAAGAAGGGATAGATGAATATGTAACACGCTAGGTGAATAATCAGATAGTTGAATACATTAGTATATATTGTGAGGGGGGAACTATGACCAGGTGAATGAGGAGTGGGAGAGAGGGATGGACGGATGGATGGATGAGTGGATGGATGGGTGGGTAGATGGATTAATCCATGGGTAATCCATTAAGAAGTATAAGGAGAACCCTGATTGCATCTTGTGTCTTTGGTTCCCACCTCTGGTAGAAAAGGAAGAATTTGGAATGCAGAGAGCCAGGAATGGAAGGGAGCTAAGGAGCTGTGGTCACAGAAGGGATAGCACTATTCAGGTCATGATAACCAAAATGCTAGAGAACCTGTGAGTATGTATACTGGCAAAGCAGAGATAGCTGGATTGGGTAATTTGATTATAGGAGTAGTTGAAATTAATTATTATCTGAAAAAGCAGCTAAATCGGGAACATAAGTAACTCATGTTAGTATATAGGTGAGAAAGTGCATTAGTTATCTACTGCTGTGTAACAAATTACCCAAACTTAGTGTTTTAAAACAACATCTGTCATCTCCCAGTTTGTGGATCAGGAATCCAGCATAGGTATCTAAATCCTTGGGCTGAGGACTTCTCCTAAGGCTGTGATCAAGGTGTTGGCTAATGCTACAGCCATTTCAAGGGACAGCTTCTGAGCTCTCATGGTTGTGGGCAGGCTCCAGTTCCTCCTAAGTGGCTGGGCTGAGGGCTTCAGCCCTTCAGTGACCGTTGGCCAGAGGCTGCCCTCTCTTGCCATGGAAATTCCCCAAAAGCAACTCATGAGAGGGTAGCACTTCTGCCAGAGGAGAAGAGCCAGAGAGAGCCCAGGCAAGGGAAATCAGTCTCTTGTAACTTATCTTGGACACATGCAATCACTTCAGGGGGAGTTAAAAGCAAGTCAGTAGATCCAGCTGGCAGTCAAGTGCCGGGGATTTCACAAAGATCTAAGTACCAGCAAATGGGGATCATTGGAAGCAATTTGGAACCTAGGATGAAGCATGCAGAGAAGGGAGGCAAGGAAGCTGCTAGCAGGAGAATCTGCATATCAGAAATAATCCAGGAAATAGAAACATCACAGGCACTGGAATTGCTGAAAATGCTCCTCTTAAAGGAAGAGGAACTAGGGAGGCATTTTTGAAAAAGCTAAGGTAGAAGGATAGCTGAGAAGGTGGAAAGCTACTGGACACTGAAGCCTGGGAGGCAGGAGTGCAGCGGAAGGGTTACCCTGGAGGTGGAGTAGCTGGACACCAGCAGTAGCTGCAAGGAGAGGCTGAGGACTAGCAGGGGCTGGGAGCGGCCCAGAGTCGGCTCTGAGCATCTGGGCTCCTGGTGACTTTGGCACTGAGGAAGGTAGATTTACAGGCAGGAGTGTAGCTGCCTGTCTGTGAATGTGCCCCATGCCCTGTGCCCAAAGAAGGCATTGCTGGCACTCAGCTAACCCCAGCACAGATGGCACTCTGAAGGGTTCTGCATGCTGCTTTGAAGGTCCATCCTGCCCTCACTGCCTCTGGGGTGTATTGGGGTCTCCAGGACCAGTTTCCAAAGGCTGGCCCCTTGTCAGTTGGCTAGAGATAAAAAGTCCACTTTGCTCCCATGCTCCCCAACCCCTCTTGGCAGGCACCACTTCTTCCCCATCCCCTGCCCATCCCCCAGGCCTGTGCCAGTCTTCGTGAGCACACCCATGCTGTCACGCACACCGGAGCTGGGCTGGGTGCCAGTCAGACAGGCTGACTTCACAGAAAGCCACAGCCAGATTTGGAACCACTGATACAATGGGGCCTGGAGAGCCACCTGCACCCCTAGGACCAACTAGGACAGGGCAGTCCTTTCTGGGAGCAGGCAGCTGGCAATACTAAGTTCCCAAGAAATCTCATGAATGCCACGCACCCTGCCCTGCACTGTCCACCCAGGCAGCAAGGGACACTCAGCCCCAGCCCTCCTCCCTCCACCCCCAAGGAACTCTCTGAGTCTCCCAAGCGCAGGTACAGCAGCCATGCCCAGCCCTGGTCTTAGGGATGCTGGCTTTGCCCACGAAACATGTCCAGCCAGGGGTCAGAGTTTCCAGAAAGTGGGGCTGAGTCTGAGTCTCAACTTCATCACTCCCCAACTATTTGTTTGGGGACCTCTCCTAGAAGGCCTCAGTTTGCACATCTGTGGAATGGGTGGTGCTCCTTTACTCTGAAATAGGCAGAATGAGTTCATTCAGTGAGCCATGCCCTGCTGAGCAGGTAAGTGACTCTCTCCTGGCGGAGGCCCAGTCACCATGTGTGCTTCGCCCCTTCTCTCGGCCCAGAAATCCAAAATCTCTACCTTCGAGAAGATGTGGGCTTTCATGAGCAGCAAGCCTTCCGCGCTGGTGAAGAACAATGAGGAGGGCATCCAGCGAACACTGACGGCCGACTACGCACTGCTCATGGAGTCCACCACCATCGAGTACATCACCCAGAGGAACTGCAACCTCACCCAGATCGGGGGCCTCATCGACTCCAAGGGCTACGGCATCGGCACGCCCATGGGTGAGCCAGGGATGCAGGGAGGAGAGAGGGCGACTCTCCCATGTCTGCTCACGCATGTGGCCCTTCTCCTGACCCCAGAAAGATGACATTGCCTCAGCCCAGGAGCAGAGGGACAGAGCTGCATACCTGGAGAGATCAGCCCTGACTTGAGCACTGGGAAGTGGGACAAACACAGACTGGGGGTGTCAGTTCCCAGAGTTCACCTCTATCTTCCCTCATCCCCCCACTGATGCAACAAAGACACATGGGGTCTTCCAGGGACCCATGGGGACAGATATTCAGTGGACCACACCATCCACCCAGAAGCATTATGCAGATTTAAAGAGGGACCTCAGTGGAGGGTCCTCCTTGTAAAGAGCTCATTGAGAAAGCTAGTGATAGTGGCTGGCTCCAACCAGAGCATTGGTAGTCAAATAAATGATGGGCCAGGCAGGCACCGTTGACAGCCAGGGGTCCCCTCTCCCCTTGCCAGGCTCCCCATACCGGGACAAGATCACCATCGCCATCCTGCAGCTACAGGAGGAAGACAAGCTGCACATCATGAAAGAGAAGTGGTGGCGGGGCAGCGGGTGTCCCGAGGAGGAAAACAAGGAGGCCAGCGCACTGGGCATCCAGAAGATTGGCGGCATCTTCATCGTCCTGGCCGCTGGACTGGTCCTGTCTGTGCTGGTGGCTGTGGGCGAGTTTGTGTACAAGCTCCGCAAAACGGCAGAGCGAGAGCAGGTGAGTCCCTAGCTGGCCTGCAAGAGACTGAGAGGGAGAGGTGGACCAGATTTATGCTGTATTACTGCTAGGTGCTGGGCACACCATGATCTCACCCACCATTATGGCAGCCCACCTTGCATCCTCCCCACCAGGACATCCTGACACTCTACTTGGTCCTGATCCAGCCCAATTCCCATTGCTATTACTCCAGCCCGGGACAAGCCGCCATCACCGCTGGCCTGGACTGTGCCTTCCTGTCTCCATGATTTCCTGCTGCTGTCTCCTGATGGCACAGCACCCTGTGCCCTGTTTAAAACTTAATGCAAACCATTATCAGTTTGCTGCATAAAACTCTCCAGGGTAACTGTTGAAGCTGAGAGATGCTGGCAAAGCATTCATTATACTGTTCTCTCTACTTTTGCATATACTTGGAAATTTCCATAACCAAAAGTTTTAAAAAGAAGAGTTACAGAGGCTAACCCCAGTGTGCAATCAGTGGAACTGGGCTCTACTAGTCTGATTCATTCAAGCCTGGTTGGGCAGTGCTTCTGGGTCCCCAGAGCAAATTAGAACTACTGAGAGAGAGTTTTAAAGTGCTAATGCCCTGGCCTTGCTCCCAGAGACTCCGTTTTAATTGGCTCATGGCAGCACCCAGCACCAGTGTTTTCAGAAAGCTATAGGGCAACTTAAACACGCACCTGGATTGAGGCCTCTGGGCTGGGAAATCAGCTCTCATGGAGAAGTTCAAGGGGATCTAGGGCCAGGTAGAGGGATCACCCGTGCAGCCAATATCACAGAGGGCCATACATCTGTCAAAAAGGCAAAGGGGGCAGTAGATGATCAGCAAGCCTAAATCAGCAGAGAGGAGGGGAAGGATAATACTGAGGATTCCAGGTAGCATGGGTGTGGGGAAAGAGACATTTCCAGAACTGCTGAAGTCCAGACAGGTACATTTCTGTAGGGAAACTCCACAAGATGTTCATTCTTTATTTTATTTTATTTTGGGGAGGATTTTTGGTTTTTTGAAACGGTGTCTTGCTATATAGTTCAGGCTGGCCTTGAACTCTCTATGTAGCACAGACTGGTCTCCAACTTGCAGAGATCCTCCTGCCTCAACCACCATGCCCGGTGAGATATTCACTTTTTGAAACTAGCCACACATTTTTACCAATTTCTAATTTTTAGAAATGCACTCAATGGAAGTGGTCAAGAATATGTGTAGTTTCATTTACAGGTGTTTGTTGAAGTATTAATTATAACAGGAAAAAATAGAGAAGAAGCAAAAGTGATATATCAAAAAAGAACAGCCACATAATTTAGGAATTCCTGTTGAGATTGGACTAAGCTGCAAACACCAAACTCCAAAACTCCAGGGGATCCAGTCCTGGCCTATTCCCTCAGACCTCCTCCTTCCAATCCTCCCGCCCCTACTATGCCATACATACTGGCCTCCCTTGTAGTCCATAACACACCAAGAATGTTTCTGCTGGGCCTTTCCACATCCTGTTCTACCCACCTGAAATGCTCTTCCCTCACAGTACATATTCTTGGCACCATATGGTCACTAAAGTTTCAGTTCATAGGTCACTTCCTCAAGGAGTCTTCCATACCCATCTCCATTCCCACCACCTTTATCCTATTTCAGTACTTTGTTCTCTTAACTGTCATCACTATCATAATTCTTTACTTGATTGATGTTTTTGTCTGTTTCCGTCCCATGGTCAGACCACAAACTCTCTGACTGCTGGGACTTTGTCTGTGTTCTCTGCTGCTAGCTTCCTAACACCTAGAACAGTGCCTGGCACATAGTAGAGTCTCAGTAACTATTTGCATCATGAAGAAAGGCAGGTCAGAGTGGAGTGATATTCTGCAGTTAGCAGGTAAGGAAGGGAGATCTGGAGAGGTCACAGCTGGTAGGAGACTAAGCCAGAATTCAAAGCCAGGTCTGCAGCCCACAACCTGTGTACTGGTCCTTGTGCTGATGCCCTGGCCTCACTGGGTAAGTTGAGGTATGAGCAACCTCCACTGCCTTACATACAATCCTCAGGACAACCATTGGTGGTTAGTCTCATAGAAGCCACTGCCATCAAACACACTTGGCAGTACTGCACTTTGCTGTCCCTCCTTGGCTGTCTACAAGGACCTAGTCAGGAAGAGGATATTGCCACCCTCCAAGAAGCTGTCTCCCAATTGTCCACCATGGCAAACACATGCTGGACTTTCCTAAGTGGGACAGCAGTGATTCTCCCTTTGATGCGAAGCCCTGACAGAAAAAGGGTCACCCACATTTGTCTAGGCCTAGTGCTGGAATTGAGGTCAGGGAAGTGAAACTGGCTGGTTGCTGCCATTAAATCTCAGATTTGGGGGCTGGGGATTTAGCTCAGTGGTGCCATCGCCTGCCTCTGAGAGCACAAGGTCCTGAGTTCAATCCCTGGTACCAAAAAAACCCTCAGATTTTAATGTGCATGCCTATCAGAGCTTCAGTGTGCTCATCTGTGAAATGGGGATACCTGTTCCACACACCTTAGTCTTCAAAAAAATGTGGGGTTTCATAGACCACTGTAGAAACTAATCATCTTGCAGGAGGCAGAAAGCTGATGGGGCAAAAGTGTGAGAAAGATGGGGCAGCCTTAGCACAGCCTCTGGGAGGAAGGGGAGGAGTTGGCTAGAGCTGCAGAACCAACCAAGCCTCACTCATGCACCCCTGTTCTTTCCCCAGCGTTCCTTCTGCAGCACCGTGGCAGACGAGATCCGTTTCTCCCTCACCTGCCAGCGTCGGGTCAAGCACAAGCCACAGCCTCCCATGATGGTCAAGACCGATGCTGTCATCAACATGCACACATTCAATGATCGCCGGCTTCCTGGCAAGGACAGCATGACTTGCAGCACATCATTAGCCCCCGTGTTCCCCTAGGCACAGGTTGGGTGGGGACCACAGGCCTGGGGCAAGGCAGAGGGACGAGAAGGAGATCGGAAGGAACAGCCCAATCCTCACACCAGGCGTGGGAACCAGAGCAGCTGCCTGCATGCTGGGCCAGGAACCTTCTGCTCTCACCTACCAGGAAACCAGCAGGACCTCAGGCCCCTGCTTGGGCTGCACTCTCCTCCTGTCTCTTCTGTGGGTTTCTAAGCTGTCAGCCAAGATAGCCAAGGCCAAAGGAAGCACATCCCTCTCTCAGGCCAAACTCACCCATCCCAGTCCCCATACTCTGCTCTACAGTCCGGAGTTTCTGTCACAGCCCAGCACAGGCTACAGAAAATGGAAGACAGCTCCTAGACTTCCACTTCTTCCTCAAGAGCCCAGGCCCCCTAGGGCTTGACCACGAGTCCAGAGACACAAACCTTGGCGCCTTACAGATGTCACAATGTGGCCGCCAATGGGAGCCAAGGGATGACCATCCCACATGCCTAGGCAAAAAGAAGGTTCTTCTGGACTTGGCTTCACCAATGGCAGCCCCTTGGCAAAATGGAAGGCAGAGTGGAAAGGAGAAGTTTGGAAATGAGGGAGAAGAGAATGCACAGATAAAGCCACCATTTTGGATTCTTATGGACAATATCTCAATGGTTCCCATTTCTTGAGAAGGTCTCCAGGAATACACATGGCATAGTGGTCACAGCAAATACTTCTCTGCTTCTCTCCAGAGGAGAGAGGACCCCTAAATCTCTCACAAAGGATGCCCAATGACTCACCTGATATTTAAAGCCCAGCGGAGGAACGGTGGGTTCCATGAAAATCCCACAACCCCTTGAGCCACTGGGCCTCACTTTGCTGGTTAGCAAGCTGTTTACTAAACCCTGTTGGCATTTGGGAACCTGGGCTCTTTGCCATCTACTCACTGGCAACTTCCTATTCCTGGCCAGTTGAACTTGCCCTCCCTCTGTCATCCTGGAAAGAGAAGAGTAGCCTCAATTGAGGTGAAAATCAAGTCACTCTTCCTGGAAAGACCCAGTGTTCTACTGCACATGTTCTTTGGGGTAGGTAGGAAAAGCCAGAGGGGTCCAATGAACTCCTGGCCTCCTGGACCTGCCAAACTTAAGGATGCTCCCTAGAAAAAAGAATGTTTTCAGTAGCAGGATATCGTAGCTACAGGGGCCCAGGTGGAGAGGGAAGCTGCCTCCTGGAGAATTAACCAAAGACCCAACAGAGACATAAGGCCATCTTGACCCTTTGTCTCTAATCCGGAGCAGTTGCAGCCTTGGAGAAGACAGCAGAGGAGAGGAGCAGCAGCCAGTGGAGTACCAGCAAGAGTATGGACCGGATGATCTGTGGGTTCCAGCTTGCTGTGAATGCTGTAGAATCTGGGACTTTAAGATTCTTAAAAAAGAATGAGAAATGAAGGGTTAGGCAAAAAGTGTCCTTAAAGAGAGCATAATGGGGCCCACAGGCCTCCATGGTCAAGGGTAGAAACTAGGCTCTAACCAGGGGAAGGAGAGCTGGAAATTCTGGACAGAAAACCAGGGGACACAAGCCGCTCCTCCCACCTAGCTCCTGGTACTGCTAGGGGGCCCAGCTCAGCTAGAAAGATCTACATTTCCATCTCAAGGGTCTTCTCAGCAGGGGGAGAAGGAGCCTTGCTAGAAAAGCAGAAGACTGACTTAGAGAGATCCTCCAAACAGAACTACAGGATCCAACCCACTGGGTCCTAATTGACAGCAGCTCTAATTGGCTGTCTGAAACGGAGGAGGGGGAAGAGGGCTAGACAAACAGTGGAACCTGATGCATGGGATGATGGGAAAAGCCATGCTGCTGTGAGCTTCGGGAGGTTGTGAGTGCATGTGTGTTTGAGGTATGAGCTTTGGGGGCTGGGGTCAAGGACAGATTTAGCCGTTTGACATAGTCCAGGGCATGCAATAATAGGGGATCCTTTGGGACCTGGTATCTGTATGTGAGTGTGTACACATGAGTGAATTAGGGATGAGGGAGATAAATCTGGAGCAACAGAACCCTATCTATGTAAAAACAGGAGAAGCCATGTCGTAATGGGGTTCTGGTGAGAGTGAGTATGTGCGTATGTGTGTGTGTGTGCCTGTGCACTAAACAGCAGAGGACCGAGGGCAGGAAAACCCTGCAGCATAGCCAAATGTGTGTTAAAGGAGAAGCCATGTCATCAAGAGGTCTGAGTATGGGTGTGTGCAGACTTGTGTGTCCATCAGAGAGCAAGGGAGGACACACAAATGCCTGTTGTATGTGAGGAGCCCTGTAGATGGGAGGTTGGAGTGTGTGTGTGAGTGTGCTCATGCCCATGTGTGTTCAGACACACACATATGTCCCAGCTCACAGGAGGAGCAGGATGGACAATCAATCAGGAAGGCCGGGAGTCAGGGTCTGCACTCCTGTCACAGGAGGGGTTGTGTGTCACACTTTGCAGAGGTTGTACGAGCATACATACCCATGGGAAGATGGCCAGGGGGCTTCATCCTTCTGTGCCTCATGGCTGCTGACTCCTTTGCTGTAGCCGGAGTGTCCTGTTTGAAGGACAAACTTCTTCTTTTACCATTCCTAATAATAGGATTCTAATGAAAGTCTTTACCAATTGCTTTCACCAACCACAGTCACTAATCACTGTCTTACTTGGTCTAGCACAATTTCATAGCACACACCCATACCCACACTCATATCACACACACATGTGCTTTTGTGCATGACACTATATGAATGTGTCATGTTCTTCTGAGGCTATGCACTTATGTATATTGTGATGGGAGGAAGAGAAGGAAGTCGCCGGGGTGGAAGACTTTTTCATCAAAGGAATGAAGAATGGTGGACAGGCAGAGGTGCCATTCCATTAGGGGAGTTCCCCCAAAGGCACTAGCACGGATTTTATACTCCTGCACAGAAGTGGGATGGTGTGCTACCTGATCTCCCATTTCATTTGAGCCTTATAGCTGGAGATGTGGCTAATCCTCAACCTCTGACTGATGTCCTGTATCATAGAGACCAGACCAGTGTATGGAGTGCGGCGGAGATTACCCTGCGTACATCTGAACTGTGACTCTCCCTGGGTGCTGAAGCTGACACCCTATCTGTGAAATGGGAATGGAGGGTAGAGGACCGGAGGGAGGTGTCTCTGGAAAGGAAGGTCATTTATGGTTAAGTTGAGGCTGCCCTGCTGCCAACAGAGTACAGCTGTGCTGGGGTGGAGGCACACATGCATGTGCACATATATGTGCATACACAAGCACAGAGGCACCAAGGAGTGATAGGAAGCACAAAGCTTGCTTGGATGGGGCAGAAGATGAGATGTGCCTGACAGGCACCTGATTGTCCCCGTGTGGTCCCTCAGGACAGGCTGAACTGAAGAGTGCTTCCCTCCTCCACAGTGCCACCCTGGCCAAACTGAGGAGCCTTGAGGAGGAGACGACCCCACCTCCCTCACCAAGGCCTGGGACTTATGGACATTGAGCCCCACTTCTGTCTCTCCCTGGACCTGATGGTGGCTTCTCTGCTGTGGACATATAAGAAAAGCCCAAAGGCTTTTTCAGTGTCCAGATGGCCCCACTCTGCATGTATTCCATAGGAGGGAAAATGCTCCCTTGGCCAATAAGCCAGACTCTGAATCTCTGAGGGGTAGGAGAGCTGCCTCTTTTAGCCCAGACTCTGCCTCAGCCAGAAGAGCACAGCTGGCTCCTGCTGGCCCCAGCTTAGGATGGAGGGAGGTCTGGACAAGCTAGATGTTGCTCCCCCTCCTTCAAGTCCAGGAAAACAGAAGTCAGACCTAGGCCCACATTCTCCAAGAACTATTGCAAGTCCCCTTCTGCCTTTCTTTCCAGGGGATACTTCTGCTTCGTCCCTCAGCATGAAGTGGATTCTTCCCCAAGCCATTCCCTGCTGTGTGCACAGCATCTGAAAACAGGGGCTAAAGTCAGTGGCCACATCTGGAAGGGTCCAGAATGGATACTCATCTGAAAAGGGAGGACATAGTAGAATGGACAGACAACTGTATGAATTTAACATCCAGGACCAGCCCAGCCCCATGGGCAGATACAAGAAATGGGCCAGCTCTGTGAATGGTCTCTAGATTAGACACATCCGAAAGTCCTAGGTTAGGAGGACACATCTGCAATGGGCTCAGATGCTCACCACAGTGGGAGGGCCCTGCCCTCTGTCTCCACACCAATTTGAATCAAGCCCTCATTTCTGAGCTGGATTTGCCCTGGAGTTAAAAATTTCAGAGCTGAGGTGGTGCACGAAGTCACAAAACTGTTTTAGGTAGAAAGTTAACGTTCTGTACAATATATATATGAATGTAAATATATATATGCTGTATATATATATATATATGCACAGTGTATATATGACCCATAGCCCATGTGTATACAACCCTTCCCCGCACGTCTGCACACAGAGTGTACAGAACCCAGCCAGTGTGGGTGGGGACTAAGTGACAGATGGGAGCTACGGCAACAAGGTGTGGGACAAAGGTTGGATAGCCCTTGGAGAATGGGCAGGCCCTGAATCCAGCTGCACTCCAGATCCTGAAGAAGAGGATGGTACTGCAAGTCTGGACAGGATGTGGGGACAGGGAGTGGCCACGGGACCTCGATGCCTGGGCATGTCTAAGAACCAGCGTCATGCTAGTACCTGGCCCCTGTGCCACCATCACATTCTTGATCTGGAGCAATTAACAGGGACTAGAAGAGCCGGGACAGAGGAGGCCATGCCCTAAGCCTGCTCTCATACCTGCCTTCGAGTCACCTGGTAGGTGTCAGGCTCTACCGGTCACACTCTATGGGAGTGTTCTAAGCAGCAAAGGCCTAAGATTGTCACCACACACAGAGACACTCACAGTGAACAGCTAGAAGAAATGGCTTTTGAAGAGAAAGGCCTTAGGGCATTGCCAGAATACCATAAGTACTGCATCCTGATGTCCTGGTTACCAGTCCTGCTCTCATTCCCTCTTCTTTCTAAGATGGAGGGCTTCAAGGCACCCCAGTTTGTCTCAATTTTACAGATCAAAACCCTGAGGCTCCCCTGTAGCAAGAAGCAGCCAGACTCAGTAAAAGGCTGGCCAAGAGTTTGCACAGCTAGACACCTCCTCAGTTCCATTTGACCTGAGACCAGCTGGCAGGGGGTGACCAAGGAACCAGAGAGGTGAGAGATGAGAGGCAAGAAGGTAGCTCCCACCCTAGCATGGCCTGACACCATCTGGCTGCCCTTCTCCCCCATCATGTCTCCCCCAGCAAGGCAGCTGGCAGAGAGCCCCCAGCAGGCCACACACCTCTGTCCCTGCCTCATGTGGATCTGGCTGTTCCCTGCAGTTCCAGTCATTTCACCCCTTCATGGGTCTAAGCATCTCTGGAGCATGCATGGAGAAAGAGATCTGGACTGGGCTCCGCTTCCATGCAGGTCACAGCCTGCCCTCTGCTTCAACCCCAGGCACTTAAGCGGTCAGTCTCTGGTGCCTGGCCAAGTGCATCTGAATCCAGCCCCTAAGTAGGGTCCTTTCCTGGCTCCACAGGGACCGGCGGTTCCAGGGGCCCTCATGCCACTGTGTTCTGAAACCCCAGCCAACCTCTGCCTGGGCAGACTTTCTGGCTGGGCCTCCGAGATGGGGACCTCAGTTCCCAGCCCTGGGGCTGAGCCCTGTAGCACCATGGGCCCCCGGAGCCCTGGTCGGTCCCACTACCCAGACCAGAGTGCCTGGACACCTCCCACTCCCATTCACCTTGGTTCCCACACACTGGTCTCTGGGCCATTCAGGGGATGCCCTTTGTGGACATGCAGAATTTCTATGAATATAGTTTTTTGTAAACATTTTGTAACAATTTGGGTTTCATAGTAACTGTGTTACTTGCCAATCATTCTAGGCTGATGTAAATAAATTTCCAAACAAATCCGATTATTTTCCTTTTTAAGACACTGTGATATATCAAAGTGCACAGTTTGCTGTATGAAGTAATATGGTTTTAAATTTTAAATAAAGAAATGTTTCTAGAAAACAAGATCCCCTTGAGGTGTGCCTTCTGTTGCTCATTTCTCCTTAGAACCTAACAGCTTTTGCTGTCTTCCTTAGGGATGGCAGTGTCCAGGGCAGGAGACTCTGGTGCTGAGCAGGTGGATACTCAGCTAATTCCCATTCAATATGGAGGCTGTAGTCTCAGTCCTTGACATCGTTTGGCCTCTGTCTTACCCGCTTGAGCACATTCCTGTCCAACTTATCTTCATCCTAGTACTCCCTGTTCTTAAACAGCCAGGGAGTTACCCTGTTCTTCAGTAAGTCTGTCTCTTTGGTGAAGTCACATGGCCATCTCAGCCCAGTTGGGCCTATCAGAGATCTCACCTGAGATTTTTTTAAAGCTGAAAACAAAAAAGCTCTGAGTGGGTTCCACCCTGGAGATGCAAATTTCACCTATCAATCAGACTTTGAGGTGGGATGTTTTAAGCAAGGAAGATTGAATACAGGAGTTGCTGACATCAGTGGAGTGGATGATAGAGCAAGGCCAGCCACTAAGCCTGGCCTGAGAGCTGTAGGAAAAGACATACCCTGGAGTCGCAATCCAAGGTTCCAGAAGTCTGGATCAAGAAGCTGCTGCCATCACCACCCCTGTCATAATTGCTTCTCATCACCCAGGAAGGTGGAGACGGAATGTGGAGGAGTGTTCCTGAAAACGCTCATGATCCCATGACGAAAACAGCCCCAAAGGGAGCAAGAAGATGGCCTCTGTTGTCACCTCTGCCTCTCCACGTGGGAGAGGAGCATTTCCTTGCTTAAACTGACTCAGCCCTAGCCAAGTTGTTTGCTAAAACTGAGTTTTACAACAGTCTGGCTACACAGACTCTGCTGTGGCCAAGTCCTCTATCAATGAATCAGGAAGCGGGGGCTCCATCTAGACCAGAATACTTCTGGGGAAGGTGGTGGGAAAGTGGCAAAGAATCACCCCATCCTGGCTAAGTACAGCTAGACTAGAGATTTCCCTTTGAGCTGGGAGAATGTCTTCCTTGTCCAATACTTCATGAATCATTATTATTGTTGTTATTATTTCTGCATCCAAGGCAGTCACTACAGAGCTCTGGTGGCTTGGAGGTGATGGCACAAGATGGGTCTGAAGCAGATTCTTGTTGGGGTCTTTTGTGGCCTATCAACCTGGGGACAGGTCCCCTTTGTTTTGACCTTGGTCATCTCAGCTCATTCGGAGCACAGTGGTCTAAGACCCACTGAGTTGGGTCACACCACCATAGGTCCCCACCACCTTCTAGAACGAGGACCTACCCGCTCTACAGCAATTTCTGGTGGCATCCAGGACAGAAGACACATTGTAAGGCCCCTCCACCACCTTGATTTAAGCAAGTGACCTTGGACAATTCACAAGCCTTAGTTTATTCACCTGTGTAGTGGGGATGCTCATGTGAACTGCCTTTGAGCAGGGACTCACATGAGAACAAAAGCAAAGATTCCGAGGAAAGTGCTTGCTAATTGGGAGGCATTGCACGAGCTTGCTATGTGTGAAGGTCCTTTTCTGCTCCTCAGTCAGGTTCCTTTCTCTCTCTTCTTTCTGTCCCCTGTAGCCTGCCCAGTAGCAAGCCGGGGAGCAGGAAGTCAGGGCTGGGAACTCAGGCTGCAGGCTGCTATTCCGAAAACCAGTCTGGGCCAGGGTCCTGCCTCCCCTGGGGCCTCGATGACACTTCCTTAGGAAACAGAAGCTGGCTGTTTAAGAAGCATCTGTCATTCTGAAAACAAAGTTGCCAGGCCATTTTTCCTTTTACTATTTTTACTGCAGTTTCATTATCTTATGCAAATGAGGCCGCTGATGAAACCTTTCTGCAGGGTGGCCCATGCTGGGACCAGCTCCACCAAGGGGATTTATTGCCTGCCTCAGCCTCCAGACAGAATCCAGGATGAGGAGGCCCCATGGAGATTGATTCCAGAGTATCAGCCCCACCCTGGCACCATCAGCTTCCCTCCACACAAGCCCCGGCGTCCTGCATCAGCCCCAGGCGTGCCCTGTCCTTTATCTCCAGAGACCAGAGTGTCAGCTCAATATGGCTCAGGCCTCTATTCCCCATTCTGGAGTAGCTGGAACTCTTTGGGAATGAGTTGCCAGTGCCCAGTGGGATATAAGGGAAATGAAATGTATTAGATATTTCATCTACATTGGGCCCCACAGTGCTAGATGAAAGGCCCAAGGTTACCCTCTTAGTTGGGATCCCTCTTTCCAGAACAGGCCCTGCTTGAAGGCCTTGAATACAAGGTGAAAGCAGGAGAGTGGAGATGTGAGGTGCCAACGGGAAGTCAGTCAGTGATGGTTCAGCACCAGCATCTGCTCTATAGATGACTGAGCCTCAGTCCATGGGGAACTCTGGGAGCCAGCATGGATCATGCAACTCAAGTTCAGAGGGTGAGGGATCTGGGATATGTATAAACTAAGTCCTAGCAATCTGTTTAGAACTGATCCCAATGCTCAACCCAGATACTTCTGGCACGCCACAGGTGACAAGGTGGGCCCTAGACCAGGACAAAGCCTCAGGCAGAGCAGCCCATAAGGCAGTGCACAGGAAGCAGGGTGATTTGCGCAGACTCAGTGAGAGCAGAAGACATGTACAAGACACTGACAGCATCTGCTGTGACCCCATCACAGATGAAGAAACTGAGGCTCAGAAAAAAACAAATAATTTACTGGAGGTGCAGTGAGTAAGTGCAGGGCCGAGAACAACCTAGAGCTCTCTGCCTCCCCCATTCAAGAAGCCAGTAGTGCCTACTACCTCCTGGTTCTCTGTACCTTGCTCACAGCTTGGGCTCCCAGGGTCCCTACCCAGCCCTTCCCAGTCCTCCTTTCTGCAGCTCTGGCCTCTCTGACAGCCCCAATCCCAGTCTCCTCTGGGATGTCTCCTAAACCATTTTCTACTGGCATAAAGCATATTGGCAAAGAACACACCACCCACCCTCAGTCAGCTCAGCAGCTCCAGGATACAGAGAGATTTTCCTCCAAGTGGCTGGAGGCTTCTGTACAGTACTACTGGCCCAAACCTTTACTTTCAGTTTGCTATGAAGACAAACGTTCCTTCTATATTAGCTACCTTTTCTTTACCATAACAAAATACCTGAACCAGACTAATTTCACTATTTTTACTCCGGAAAAGAGTATTACTCCGTTCACAGAAGTTTGGGGTCAGGGACATCCTGCCTTCACTGGGTCAGCTCTGGCAAGGGCCCCTCGGCTGCATTGCATCATGGGGCATGGGAGGGAGTGCTCATGGAGTAAGTGGTCACATATCAAATCAGGAAGCAGACAGAGCTGGGAGAGGCTGGTCTCAAGCCTTTATTATAACCCTCTCACAACAACTATCTTAACCCCTTCCAAAGGCATGCTCCCAGTTAACCCAAGGACCTCCCTCTAGGACCCACTTCCTAGTTTGCACTTCCCAGTATCACCACTGAAAACCAAGCTCCCAACACAGGAACTTTGGAGAGTATGCTTAGGACCCTCCTTCCCCCCAACTCAGCCTCAATAGACTAAGAATTTTCTAAACTCTGCTAACACATCCTCTGGGACAAGGTTTTCACAAAAGCCTTCCGTGCATCATGCCGTGGATGGGCACTTTCCTCTACTGGGAAGTCACACCTAGCTCCACACTTCCCAGAGCTTGGGCAGTGGTGACATTAAAGATGTGAAAAACCAGAATTTTCCCAGTCCCACTCACCTGTGGATAAGGATGAGGTCATTCAAATGCCACTGGCTCTGGGCCCTCACATGAGCCAGACCTCCAGCTCCTGCAAGGTCCATGGGAGAGTCCCCTCTGCATTCCAAATTACTCTCCTATCTAAGGACTGAAGGCCTCAAAGCTCCCAGTGCTCAGTTCTTTCTATCCAGGACTGTCATTAACTATAACAGTAAGTGGCAGCTAGTAGCAACATTGCCTGCCTGGTGTACCTGGCTCCCTGAATGTCTCATCTTCCAGGATTCTCACCACAATCCTATAATCTAGGGTGATACCATTCCCATATTGCAGTTGTAGAAACTGAGGCTGGGAGAAGAAGAATTACTCACCTATAATAACCCGGGAAGCAGCAGAATATGGCCTCCAGTTTGAGACCTCTGTTTCATAGATTTGGTAAATGAGAGAATGAATAAATGAAGGAGTGGATCAGAAAGCAGTCAATATCAGTGCTGTTTACAGACACTGGGGAGCTTCTATCTTTATAGGGGGAAAAGCATCCAAACTTGATTAGGCCAAAAATGAGAATTACTAATTACAGTCACTCACAGGAACGACCTACCATTTATGCCTAATTGCAATGCAGTCCAATAACAATTATGCACATCAATAAATGTGTCAGATTAACTTAGTTTTAAGTTTTACTTGATCACAACACAACCCTGTTGGTGATTGCTCAGGCTTGGGAGATTGTGGCCCTCTTGCCTGGTGCTCTTGGTCACTTCTGGCTAAACCAGGAGAAGCATCAGTGCTGGAAAAGAAGTAGAAGATGGAAGAGGAAGGAAATGTCTCTTCTTCCTCTGCCGCAGTGTCTGCCCTGACAAGCTCTGGGAGAGCAGTTTGGCAGGGGGTCTTTGCAGGGCGTGCAGAATGCGTCTCAAGCCTCCCCTCCCCTCCTCAATGCCAAAGGCAGCTTCCTAATTAGAACATCCATAACCCTCAGCATCTGCTCCAAGAGAATTCAGCTGCTCTGAGATGGAGAAGTCCATTAACTTTATTGCACAAAACGTCGGACGTGCTTTTAGACAGAGGATCTCTGCCAAGTGAGATAAACTGCTTGGACCTGCCAGAGGGATGAGCCAGAACTCCCTGCAGTCCTCAGCTAGGTCCTGGAACTCCCTACTCTTTCTATCCAAGGCCTACGAGGTACTGTGTTGCTCTGGGAGTCTGGAGTCAGAAGAAGCAGTGACTTTCAAATGCAGGTGCAGCCCAAACACCCAGTCTGCAGTGTGTAAACCTGAAGCCTGTTGGATGTCAGCAC